GAGACCACTGAGGGATGAGGCCTCGGGTCGGGAGGCCAGATTCGGGGGAAGAAGATTAAGGATGTGTGTGTCGTGTGTGGTCCTTGGGGTGAGAGATCGGAGGGCAGGGAGGAGGGAGTGGACGCCCTCATTCCCTCCAGGGAGAGTCCTTGCTGGAGGAGGAGAGGGCCGGAGGGTGTGAGGAGCCTGGCCTGGGATGCAGGGGCAGGTGTGAGGCGCTCCAGATTGGCCGGTGTGTGGACCCAGCAAAGGTTCTGCGCGCGGAGCAGGGGAGAGTCAGCCGGGCGGGGGGAGCCGCCGTAGCCCAGTCCAGGGCGCTGGTGCACCAGCTCCCCAGCTGTTCAGGTAAGGACAGACCGTGGACGTCTTAGAGGGGAGGCCCGCAGACTCCGCAGAGGAGGGTATACCAGTAGGCCGGTTTGGTGAAGGGACAAGGGTACACCTGGCTCGCATGAGCAAGCGGGCGAAGATTAAGGTGTGTAGCTCTAAGTGGATACTGATGCCCAGTGACGGGTCAAAGCGCCTGCCTCTGTCTGATTATGATGGAAAGTCTTAAGTATCACGTTTTCTGAAAAGCTGAAAAAGAAATCCCCAATTTAAAAATCCCATCACTTCATTTGCACCAAAACCATTTGGATAAAAAGCCAATTCAAAGATCTTTGATCTGTGTTAACGTGTGTGACCCAAACAGCATCCCTGTTTAGGTGGGTGCCACCACTGTCTGCTTTACCGGTGAGGACGTGGTGACACCGGTCTTTGTTCGCACAGCTGGGCGGAGGCGGCACTAAGGTCTTAGTATCTGAGGTGAGACATTCAGAAATCGTGGGCGCGGAAGGGCAGGGCAGGGGTTACAGGAGTCGTTCGGTCGGTGGTGCCCCATGTGGTGGCCTGCTGTCCTCAGCCCCCTCTTCCCTCTTACTGCCGGGTTGCTTTGATTGATGGTGGAAGCACTTAGGATCTCTGCATAGGTGAGTCCTCGGTCCTCAGTCAGTGCACTTGCCCATGATCTTGGTAACCCAGTGTGGCAAATGCTGGTGTCTTAGCAATGTTCACCTCCCTTGTATTTGCCTTTGGGTGTGGGGATGCTGGTGTCACTAACGGTCTGTACCTTGAATTTGGTGCAGTGGCATGAAGTGTGGAACGGTGTCCAGGTATAGGAACAAGCTTGGGCAAAAACATCCCTGGAGGCTGAACTGCGAGTGTTCAGGGAGCCTCAGGTCTCCGTTATGTTTGGTGTGATCAGCGAGCAGGGGACAGAATTCAACTCTGGAACAGCAGCCTATGGAGCTGGGCTTCTGTTTTGGGAGTGGTGGGAGCCATGGAAGGTTTAGAGCAGAGGAGTGATCCGATTGGTCTTCACAGGCTTTCTCTGGCTGCACGGTGAAGAAGATTGGGGTGAGGAAAGAAGACTGTTGATGGCTGGACTAGATTGGTGGTTCTGGAGGTGAGGGACGGGTGCTGGATTCTGGGTTTGTTTTTTGTGTCTCTTTAAGTAGGGCCAACCGGACTTTCTGATGTGGATGGTGAGAGAAAGGAGAGGACTCAGGGATGACCTCACAGCTCCCACAGTTTTTGGCGTGAGAAGGTATAAGGGTGGAAAAATTCTCGATTGAGACAGCGAAGTTGGTGGTGGGAGTAACTTCCGGAAATAATATCAGGAGTTGGGCTTTGACCACGTTGAGTCTGTAGCGTCTAAAGACATCTGAGTGGAGGTTTCAGGTAGGCAGCTGGACGCACACGTTTGGATTTCCCAGGAGGGATCCAAGTCCACAAAGTGGCAGCCAGTGTATGGATTAGAGTAGAGCTGCGTGTCAGATTTATAGAGAGGATCTTTCTGTCACAGTGGCAGTACCATTAAGGGTCTGGAGGGGGGTGGACACGGCAGAGAGGGAGTCACTTAAGGGACAAAGGGAGTGTAGTGTCCATGGTGGGGAAGATAATAGGGTCTGGCGGGGTGGGGGGAGTCTTCCAGAGAGGGGAGACATGAGATGAGTGCTGGGCCGTAGCAGTAACAGAGAGGAGATGAAAGTGAGGCCAAAGCAGGCACCTGTTTCCTTTCCTGGGTGCTTCCCAGGCTTTCCTGGTGACCTGTAGTGGGACCTAGGGAGTTTCTGCCAAACTCAGAGGTAGATTAGCTCAGAGGCTGATTGGGTCAGCTGGCAGAGTGACTGTGCTTGGGGTACAAGGCCAGTGGGTGCGGGCTCTGAATGAGAAGGTATGTCAAGTGTTAAGCCCGACTGATGAGGATATGGCATCCTTGGTATGTAACGGCAAAGTGGGAAGGGGCTGGGCTTATCTGATGTCTATATGTGGTTCTGGATTGCTGAAATCGAATCAAAGAATAGGGCCAGGAAGGGAGGATTTAAAAGCTGGGTTTAGAGATAACACGGCACTGGGAACCATCAGCTGGAGCCAGATGTGATCTTGGCTGCAATAACCAAGAATTCTGTGGGTGCTGTATGCACATTTGCACGTGGGAGGTACCTGTGTTGTGGGTATCCGTAGACCTGAGGGAGGTGCGGTCTAAAGAGTGATGTGTACTGGAGGTGGAATCTGAGTTCATAGCCTGGGGGCTTTAGAGGAGAATTCTGAGCTCACGTTTGTATGTAAGAGGCGTGATCTCCGGACCAAGGGAACTAGCTGGCAGAAGTGTCTGTTTGTCCCCCACCTGTTGTTCTGGGCTGGACAGAATGATTACTAGGAAATGAGGAACGAGTGAGCCGGCACCGATCACACAAGGGCCTGGTATCCTGTCTGAGTTGGGGAGCTGAGGAGGAAAGTGAAGGTGTGGTGGATAGGCCAGGAGTCCTGGGGAGAGCTGCTGCCCCCGTGTTCAGGTATTGATGTCAGTCAGGGTCATGTGACTTTGAAGGATGCGCTTGTGTGTTTCTCTTGGGAAGAGTGGCCCAGAGACTTGAGTCACACGGTCTTCCTGGGTAAGGCCCCACGTACCCCAGTTTTCTGGGCTGTGCTCTACTGTTTTCCCTCAGAGGTTGCCATTTTCTTCCCAAAGCTGTTGTGGGCACTGCCATTTTCCCTCAGTAACACAGGTTTTCTGGGTGCCGGGGTTCAGCTGTGTGAACTGCCTCCTTCAGTCCCTGTGGTCAGTCCCATGGACTACCCTGCTTGCTGTTTTCCTGGCTGTATGTGGCTCTGTCCACATTCGTGATAACCTCTGTGCTCCAGATTCTACCCTTTCGTGTAATTGGCATTTCCTTGGGCCTACCTGTGTCATGAATTGTCATCATGGCCACTGCCCGTGGGGCCCATGGTGCTGATCTGCAAGACATTTCTGGTGTTCATTTTGCAATATTTAATTGTCCTTTAATCTCTTGTGGGCAGGCTGCTCTGGGCCACTGCTTTCCTACTTGCCCTGTCTTTCCTCTACGACTTGTTTCTTCCAGATTTTTTGTGGTTGCTGAACATAGCAGGGGAAAGAACTCTGAGTGCCTGACTGAGAGGTCATGACTCTAGCCATGGCTGGAGGGACGTGGACAGGCCCTGGTGAGTGGGAGCGTGGGGAGGGAGCTTCGGGGCTGGCTTCAAATAGCACCAGAAACCTGTCCTGGGCACCACTCCTGTTTGGTGCCCAGGTTATAAACCACACCTGTTTCTATCTTTTTCTCCTCGTTCTGGACACTTATTTATCGTTTCTGTCCAGACCTCCAACCCAGGGCTGTCCACGCCCACTCACCAGTGCTCTCTGCTGCTCTTTCTGCAGTGCCGTCCTGTGTTGGACAATGCTGATGTGTCTGAGACATACATCTGTTCTTAAATTGTTTTTGAACACCAGTTGCTCATTTTAAATCAGATTTTCCCGGGCCTAGACGTACATTTCTGTGTAGTGCCCACCAATAGCTAAGGCCCTTCAAAAATCATCTGCAGAAGAGTAAATTGGATATCCTACTTGCTGGTTCTCCCTGACCTACACCCCGTCCTTGGGTCTTTGTCCCTTGTGAAGGCTTCCTCATTCTGTGACCCTTTGAGGCCCAGTATTGCACAGCAGCTTTTTCTTTAACCTGATCCCACATCTGCTGTCCTACCGACACCCCCGTGGGCTAAATACTAGATACGTGTGTGATGGGGTTGCCCCTTCTCCAAAGTCCCCATTCACTTAAAGAGCATTTTTCTGCCCGCAGGTTATTGGTGCGCGGCGAAAGATGAAGAGGCACCTTCTGAGCAGACCGTTTCTTTAGGAGTCTCCCATGATAGCATTTCCAAGGCAGGTTCATCAACCCAGATGGCTCACCCTTGTGACATTTGTGGCCCCATCGTGAAAGACCTCTTACACCTGGATGAACACCAGGAAATATGCCAAGGACTGAAACCTTACACCTGTGGGGCATGTGGGAGACAGTTCTTGTTCAGTGCAAACTTTCACCAGCATCAGAAGCAGTACAGTGTAGAGAAACCTGTCAGAAGAGACAGAGGCAAGACCTCATCTGGGAAGAACTGTAGGGTTTGTGAAGAACCTCACCTGTCGGGAAAGCCCTTTCTGTGTGAGGAGCAGTGGAGCCTCCAAGCCAGTCTGGGCAGTCACCAGCGACAGGCCACCCACAGCAAGAAGAAGAGGAGGACTGGGAGCGGGGAGGCCTCTCACGGCGGACAGATGCAGTACAGCTGCAGCGAATGCGGGAAGGCCTTCAACCGCAAAGACACGCTTGTCCAGCACCAGAGAATCCACACCGGAGAAAGGCCCTACGAGTGCAGCGAATGCGGGAAGGCCTTCAGCCGCAAAGCCACACTTATCCAGCACCAGAGAATCCACACCGGAGAAAGGCCTTACGAATGCAAAGAATGTGGGAAAGCCTTTAGCCGCAAAGACAATCTTACTCAGCACAAAAGAATTCACACCGGAGAAATGCCTTACAAGTGTAGCGAGTGTGGAAAATACTTTAGCCATCACTCCAACCTCATCGTACACCAGAGAGTTCACAATGGAGCGAGGCCTTATAAGTGTAACAACTGTGGGAAAGTCTTCAGACACAAATCCACACTTGTTCAGCATGAGAGCATCCATACTGGAGAAAATCCTTACGTTTGCAGTGATTGTGGGAAATCCTTTGGCCACAAGTACACCCTCATTAAACACCAGAGAATTCACACTGAGGCAAGGCCTTTTGAGTGCATCGACTGTGGGAAATTCTTTAGTAGAAGCTCTGACTTTATTGCACACCAGAGAGTTCACACAGGGGAAAGGCCATTTGTGTGCAGCAAATGTGGGAAAGATTTCATCAGAACATCCCACCTTGTTAGGCACCAAAAAGTTCACACTGGAGAAAGGCCATACGAGTGCAACGAATGTGGGAAAGCCTATAGTTTAAGCTCCCACCTCATTCGGCACCAGAAGGTTCACACTACAGGACGGCTTTAGGAGTGCTTTCAACACAACAGGACTTGTATGGAGAGGGGCTTTGTGATTGCCCTTGGAGAGGAAGACACCAGTCAGATGTTGAACCTCATGTATCTGAACATTAGCACTGGGGAGAGACCTTAAGATGCCAGGTACAGGGACACTTTCATGGGTTGCGTTGCACTTGCAGACCTGCTCAGGTTCCTTGCCAAATTTGCCACCCAATGTCTGTGGCAGAAACCATCTCAGTTCTACCAGCTTCGTTTCTGTATGTCCTCAGGGACACCTCCAGTCTCTGGAGGAAATTATGAGAATCCTGAATTGAATGGGGTTCCTCATTCCCTCCCCACTGACTGGTAAAGGTGTGGACCTCACCCATCTTTAGCCAAGAGGACCTGAGCTGTGTTCTGGAGGCTTACAGAAGAGCTTTACTTTCTTCATGGACATTGTTGGCCTCATGTGGTACATGTGACACATTTTTCTCCGAGTCACCCCACCTGGAGAACCACTTGTCTTCTGTTGCTCTGGTCTCTGTGATAATAAAGACATTATTTAAACCATCGTTAATCTTGGACGTTCTTTTTACTGTTTGGATTGGTTTGCAGACAGTAGGCCCTGCCAAACGGAAGCGGTAAACGGTGCTTGTGGGGGTCTCCAGCTTCAGGTACCTCAAATGGAAGAGCAGGCTGGCAGAGAACCACTCTCAGTCCAGTTCTGGTGTTGCTGACACAAGCTTTTTAGGTGAGAGGTCAGGGGTTTGTGGTCCTGATTTTGTCTGGATTTCAGCGTAATTTGAGGGTGGTGTTGAGGAAGGTTGTGGCAGCCTTCGCGGTGTTTGGGAGCAGCGTGGATTGAGTGTCTTATTTCCAGCATAGGTGCCACGTTTCCCAGCACTGTTAGGGGAAGCTGTTTCTGAGGACCTGCCAACTTCCCGCTGCCCTGAAGGCCAGAATCTGATCTGCTGCCCAAGTCTCTGGCTGCAAGACCTACCATCCCAGGAAGGAAACAAAAATAAATTTCGCCCTGTGTGTGAATAATTGGAATTGTGGAGACTGCAGCAAGTGAGAGTGGATGTGCCCATTTTAAAAACGTCCACAAACATTCCAATCACTGTGGCTGTATGAGATCGGGATGCGTGGAAATTCTTAGGATCTCCAGGGCTGTGTCACTCTCTGACCAAGGTCAGTGGCAGAGCAAAGAATGTAAAGTTTACCTTGATACTTGTACCTCCCTGGCTCTTTACCCAGTGTCTTTGCTGCATGGGCAAGAACTGGCACAGACATTGTGGTCCAAAGTTGTAGTTTTTGTGACCAGCCAGAGCTTCTGGGGACTCCCTTGCAAACAGCCTTCACTGCTTGCCAGTTTTGCTTAGTGCTGAGGAAGAGGCTGTCTTCACAGGGCATTTGGAGAGAGAAGGTAGAGTCACTATATTGGTGCTCAATCTGGTGTTCCAGTAGAAGCACAAGACTTGGATGTTAGTGGAATCATTTTTTATAGTTTCTTTAAGGTGTAGTCCACATGCAGTATACTGCACACACTTAAAGCGTACCGTTTGGTAAGCCTTAACATATGCACAAACCTGAGGATCACCCAGCCATGTTTTTGGACATACCTACCCCCCAGAGTTACCTCATGCCCCTTCCTAATACTTCCTGTGTCTTCCCTAGGCAACCGTTGATTTACTTCCAGTATGGATAAAGGTGTCTTTTCTAGATTCTTCTTTATAGTGGAACCTTAGAAGTTTATTATCATCTGCTGTCTTCCATGCAGCCTTATTTTAAGAATCACTCCTGTTGTGTGTATAAATAGCTCGTTCTCTTCATTGCTGAGTAATGCTCTGATGGGATATACTGCAGTTTATCCCTTTATCTGAATTGCCTTTTGTTTTTTCCCCCCAAATTCTGAGTATTCAAAACAAAGCTCCTGCAAATGTTAATATAAAGTCTTTATATGGACGTTTTGAGCTGAGGAAATTTCTAAACAAAGTGTTGAATGTGTGGCCTTGTCTCTTACCATTTATGGTAAAATGTAATAGGGAAGAGATAAATGTAGGGAAGAACTATTAAACAGAAAAGACCCAAGATTTGATGATTTGGGAAATTCTTATCCTGTCTTAGTTGCAAAAGACATTGAAAGGAAGTGATTCATGGTGAGAAAAGCATGTTCTGGAGAACTAGCCACAGGTGTTGCTGTACAACCTTTTGTAAGATCTCAGCAAAATCAGAAGAACAGTATGCGGGCACATGACATTTCTTTGAAGAGATTGTGACTAAGCAGGCCCCTCTGCAACCCAAGAGCACCTAAGAAGCTTAAAAGTATCCCACGGCCAGCTCAGCAAAAGTCAAAAATAGATAACGGGATCATTCAGGGGGGAAGTCTGTGAACCAACCTCTTGTGTAATGGAGTCAGTCTCTGGTAGATACAGAAGAGCCACAAAGCTCTCAAGAAATTCATTCTAGTAGAAATAATGTTGGATCTCAAAGGGACAGAGTACAAAATTAGGACTTCCAATATTCTACACACATGAAACTGGCTAAGCAAATTTCTAAACTGTAAACCTTTGTTACCTGTGATGGGAAAGGAGGACTCCGAGGGCAGAGTAGAACCCAGGGTGGGGAGCTGTGAGCCCAGTGGCCAGAGGCCTGAACCACAGAATATATTCCCAGGCCTTGGTTCCTAATGTAGTTTGCTAAACTTGATTTCAAATTTTCTTGGGACTTGTGGCTTTTACTTATTTTTTCATTTTCTCCCATTTTGAAACAATGCATATACTGTTATCCTAGGTCTATTCCACCATTTTATTTTTGGAGCAGTTACCTTGTTTTCTAATTTTACAGATCCACAGATGGAGAGGATTTGAGCCCTGGGGTGGATTATATCCAAACCCTCACCCATACCTGATTTAGACAATTTAGGTGATGAGATTTGGGTGTTAGAGTTGATACTGTAACAGAATGAGACTTTTTGTGATCTTGGGATGGGCATAATATATTTTGCAAGTAGGACACATAACGAATCTGAGGACCAGACAGTGAACTGTAGTGGATGGAATCACTGCTCCCCAAAATGTCCATGCCCTAATCCCCAGAACCTGTGAATGTTCCTGTAGACGGCCAATGGGACTTTGCATGTGTAATGTAATGCAGTTTTTGGTGAGACTTAACCAGGTGGGCTCAATGTAATCACACGAGTCTTTGAAAATGGAACCTTTCCCAGCTGCAGGGAGACAGAGGTAGACGGAAGAGTCAGATAGGGCTGTATAAGGCCCTTTGACGGCCCATTGCTGGTTCTGACAAAAAAGCTAGGGAGCCAAGTTGAGCATCACACATCTGATAGCCAGCGTCTTCAGTCTTGATTCAGCAAGATCAGGCCAGAGTATTGAGTCACAGAAAGAGCTCTTTGAAGAAATTATATGACTGCAGATCTCAACACAACCAGAAAGCACCTTGGAAGCTTAGAGATCTGTTCCACAACCACATGGAACTAAATTCTGCCAACAGCCCACACAAGCAGGAATCTGATTTCCCAGAGCCTCCAGAAAGGAACACAACCTGCCAACTTCCAGGCACAGCTGGAGCCCCAGGGCCTGGGGGAGAACCCGGCCAGTGCACTGCATTAGAGGTATGCATGCCAGGGTGGGACTTGCCTGCGGAAAGGCTTTGGTTCAGAGAGGAAGGAAGCCGGAGCCTCTAAGTGCCAAACTGCTGGCTTAGGGGTGGGGTGTCAGGTGGGCACCCTGCCAGAGGCCAGGGAGAGCTCTGGTCTAACTGGCTGTACCTCTCTGGGCTCTCTGGCCTCCAGGTGTACGTCCCCCCGCCCCCGCAATCCCTAGCAGTCCAGCTCTGGGGCTCTCCATGTGCCCTATTGGCCCAGCCTGGACATTCTCTTCTCGCCTAATGGCTTCTTGGCAGCAGCGTTGACTCCTTGGCCCTCCTGCACTTTCGAGACGCGCCGCCCCGGTGGCTGCCCTGGCCCTGTCCTGCACCCTTGGCAGCCTGCTCCCTCCGTGGCCCAGCCTCCAGGCCGGCTCCTGCCCCGCTGTCCGCACACTACTCCCACCTTCCCCCTGCGTCCCTAAGGCTGCTTCCCTCACCTGCTCCTGCACCTACTGTCTACTGCACCCCGGTGTCTATAACCCACCTTCTACCACCTGGTCTTGAGTTTGGCTGGGTGCTGTCGGCCCCTGTGCCTTCCCTGGCACCTCAAGGTTTTAGCTTTTCTCTGCCTCCCGAGCCTGCTGCAAAATCACTCCCTCTCCCTCACCCTATGCCACAGAGGAAACCCTGAAATAAGTGTAGTTCTATTAGATCTGGGTGAGAGGAAGCGGTCCAAAGGATCCAGAAAGCTGTGGACCTCTGGGTGGTGAGATCATTCTGAGGTTTGAGGGAAACCCTGGGGTTTGCAGTACCAATGTGAACAAGAGGGCTGCTTCCCATTCGAGGGTAATAGGGGCTTTTTCCATCACAGGTGTACCTAAATCAGGGTATTTTACTGGGCACCTATAAGTGGTTCCCTAGGAATAAGTGAAGATCCATCCTCTGGTCAGATACTCAAGTCTTTCCATCAGAAAGACTGTTCTCACATGGTGACCATTTCATTCTCTGATTTTCAGGTGTTTTTCGTTTTTGTTTTTGTTTTTTTCCTGTCTGGCAAAGACTCTCATTTATTTTCTTTCCTGTTTTCTGGTCAATTTCTCTGCTCTTTGTTTCCAGCTGTTCAGCGAATCTTAAAGAATTCTTCCAGAAATTCAGGGTAGCCACTGGGACACTGCTTCCCAGTAGGGAAACTGGAGTGGAGCCCTCTGATTTCCCTCCCTTCGAGCCTGGAGACAAAAATCAGGGTACAAGACTAATGTGACTAGAATTTAGTTATGAAAGGGTAAGGAGCTAGAGTTGGGGGGTACAGGGAAAGAGGAGAGGCAAAGAATTGAGGAGAGATCCACTGAAACTGTTGACCGTGTCCTGATCTATACAAGTGCAAGAGTAAACTATGTGAGGTTTAGGAAAGTATCCCTAGAAGGCAGTATACTGAATAATTCCTGCAGCTCCTGGAGGGCTGGGAATCATTTATGTTCTCATCTGCCAACATGGAAACATATATTATACAGTGTACAGAACAACAGGTAGAATCCTCAGAA